GTAAGCCATATCATCTTATATCTTCACTTTTTACTTTCCTTTGCATGCGACTGTTACTTTTTTATTATCAAATATTTATATTTTTATGTATTATTTCAGTCGTGGCTGCCAATGATCTGAAATGGCAAATACCATCTGGTATGTTTAGACCATTTGTGGAGATCAATCTAATCGGACCGCACCTTCAGGATAAAAAGAGAAAATTTGCGACTAAATCAAAGTCAAATAACTGGTCTCCCAAGTACAACGAATCGTTTAGCTTGTGAGTAGATTCATTTTTGTTGGACGCATCTCATGAAAAGCTTTCTTAGGTTACAAAGGTATATTCATATTATATATTGTTGTATATATTTTAGCGCCATTGGTAATGAGGAGCAACTAGATTTCTTTGAACTACACATCTGCGTTAAGGACTATTGTTTCGCCCGAGACGATCGACTTGTGGGAGTTGCAGTTATACCTTTAAAGGATATATCTGAAAAGGTCATTTGAATATGGTATTTAAATATGTCTCTATGCACAGTTAAAAAATGTTTCTTTATAATAGGGATCGGTCGCATGTTGGTTGCCGTTACAGCGCCGCATTGAAATGGACGAGACTGGTTGGACCATTCTAAGAATACTATCGCAGCGCAATAACGACGAAGTCGCTAAGGAATTTGTTAAACTAAAATCAGAAATACGTCAGGAACCGACAATGGGTACTTAAATACTCGAACCTTCGCAAACTCTCACATAAAACCCATATGTACTATCTAAATACAGTACGTACATGAACAACACATCTGAACAAGAAATCATGAGTTTACTCGATTATTAATAAGAAATTATACATTTTAGTAGCATTATCCCTTTCAAACATATACATATATAAAAATACATATACAGTACAACAAATAAAAAACGAACATATAAATATTTATCTAAGTTCATCTATGATATTATTTGAAACCTATATTTAAGCGGTAACCGCCAGTGGTGTAAAAAGTTGATAATGTATAACTTCATATCCCTTTAAGCACACACAGACTTACTACTACTCACAGAATTAAAAATGTTGCTTCCCAAAAGAACCAAAGGATACACTCTATTATCATCCGTGCATCTTAAATGTAATTTGTTTCTTAAGCACATTCCTATTTTTGTAAATAAATACCTGTATACATTTAATTTGTATTAACCATATATTTGTTAAATATGATTCGCGTGCATAATAATTATAAATACTTATTTTTTCTATTGTAATAATAAAAATAGCCTATCAAAAAATTGTCAAAATATAAACACCCGAAATCATATGAAATACAAGCAAAACCAATGGTTCCTAGATGACCCATTATTCCTTGGTTTTACCCTACCAAAGATAACGTCGAACGTAAATAACCGAAAAAGTCTAAAAACATGATTGCTTTTTCTTTCAACATTCGTCCAACAACTTCCCTACCCATCAACGGTTCCTAGTGGACCCACATATCCTTGGTCATACCATACCATTGATTTAGTCCTGGTCAACCTAGAGGACCGAATCGCTGCAAAATGCGCACGGAAACGGTCCAGAATTATGCATGCTTTTATTGCACCTTGTGGGTATGCAATGCTATTTGTCATATATAACATTTTAGTTCGTCTACATGCTGGACCATTCTGTTCGCCTGGTCTTTTTGCAAAATTTCCGTTAAAACCTAACGCCCCCTCATTGCAGCCTGCTTTACAGTGAATTGTTCAATAAGATCTAATTTGTTTAATACATTTTTCTGTGCATTTACCTACTGGTCATTTTTGTTCGCCAGGTATTTCAGCTAAATTTTTATTTGAAAATGTAAGACAACGGCCGGACCCAGTGCACTGGGGATTTTTAGACCTTCATTTAATTGTGGATAATGTTTTAAAGGAAATGTTGTTAGGATTTGGAACTATAGGTTCGCTAGGTTTATATCAATGGTTAAACCCAAGACAATATAAACACTAAGATGAGTAACGCCCATACATTTGCATGCGACACAAAATTTCTAGCCTGGCTTTCTAAACTAGCTTTTACGATTTCGCATGACTTGCCAGCCGACCGGCTGTTCGAATGCCGAAGTCGCGGCTTGGTGATGCTGACACGAGCTACAAGTTAGTTGCCAGCCTGCCTTCAGCAAAGCTGGTCGATGGTATTTTGTGTCGCTTCGTTTTCAAAGTACATTGAGCGAAAATGTTTTGAACTTATGATCGATGCAAAGCACTTTTGCTTTATCCATGAAATGCATGCTTTATTAAAATGATATATTACCCTAGATACTAACAATATATTTTACAGGAAAATTGAAGAATAAAATAATTTTTACACAAGGCGCATCTTGTGCAATAACTATGTCAGGAAAATAGCACACATAGATTGATTTACTTTTGTTTTTGGACAGTGTATGCTCGAAGTTCTTGTCTCAGCCAATAGCCTGCAAGCACCTTTGGTTGCATGCGTGAATTATGAATGCATAAGTACATCAAAATATGTATATACTATGTGTTTTTATTCACTGCTCTGGCTTTACCTGACAAGAAAATAATTTTGTTAGTTTTCTAGCGCTGATCATGAACTATCCCAAATTTGTGTTGACATATGAATGCATGTTTTGTACTGAGGTTGGCTCCTTAGAAAATATGTATTGTTAACTTGTTGCAAATATTTACTTATATAATTTCTTTAAATTGTAAATTATTAAAAAGCAATGATACAGATTTCGTTTTCGTTCTCAATTTTCAAAAAATCAAGCTGCATAGTATCATTTTGTTGTATGGTTGTATCTTAGTCTTTATATTGTCTTTGGTTAAACTAAGGATATATTGGGCACCTGGGAACCACAGAGGGCGATAAAATAAATTTGTAATGGTAGTTGTAGAGCACACCTAAGCCATCGCCTGCATGCAAATTATTTCAAAATAGCTTCTAGGCTATTGAGCAAAAGGCTAAGAGCTTCCGCAGCAAGTTGAGCTACTTTTTCACCAATTCCAAGGTAATTCCGAAATTTTAATACTAATTATACCTTTTTATACCCTGAACCCATTAAAAATGGGTATTATGGTATATTGTATTTGTGCAAAATCCAAATGTATGTAACAGGCAGAAGGACGCATCTCCGACCCCATAAAGTATATATGTATATTTTAGATCAGCAATAGCCGAGTCGATCTAGCCATGTCCGTCTGTCTGTCTGTCCGTCTGTCCGCCTGTCCGTCCGTCCGTCCGTCCGTCTGTCCGTCTGTCAGTCTGTCCATATGTATGAACGCAAGGATCTCAAAACCTATAAGAGCTAGAGACTTGAAATTTTAGATGTAGATATCCTGTTATTTTTGGGCGATTTTTGAAAATAATAAGATCTAGAGTCACCAAACTGGACATATAGCTTCAAAAATAGAATATATATATGCATTTGATGTTGGAAGAAGAGGGTTCAGGGTATCCCCTAGTCGGGACTAGACTAGAACCTCTTACTTGTTATTCCCATTTTACATTTAAACACCTGTAGGCGTGGTATTTAATAGAATGGGGGATTGTTCAATGAATTTCCTAGAGAGTTAAATATCTCTTCGAAGAATAACAAATATAGTAAATGCAAAGTTGTCACAAACATTTATATATTTAAAAATTTATTGCACGTTATGTAAAACTAATTCTAATGCAAATTTAAGTTATATAAATACACATGCTTGTATATATGCATGTCCTGGACAGTCGTCTTACTTTGAATTTAACCGTTTTTTAATAAATAAAATATATAGTTAATGGAACAGATCCACATATAGTACCATAAACACAATACACCGTTTGCCGCACATTATAAAAACTTTGAAAACTTCTATCACACTTCTACTACACTTTAATTAGGAGCCCTAAAACACAGGTTTTCTCCCGTCACACATTGAACAAAAAATCAAGAGTTTCCGACAAAAAGATATTATTTTCCAGTTTTATATACTCCTGAATATACAGTGGTATGTTATTTTATACAAAAGCCGTGTCCGTCTTACTTTTCCTCCGTTTTCCCAACCGTATGCGCCTAGCTTGACCTAGGGGCTTAACATTTGCAATACATGTTTACCTAAAGCATACGCAAAACGGGCTTATATATTTTGTCCATATCCTGTTAATTTTTAAGACAATATATCATTTATATAGCTTGACCCTTGTGAGTTGGTATATACACACATTTAAATGTTAAATTTCATAAACATCGGACACCAAATTGACCATTTGGACACCTAGACATAATGGTACAAGTTTTATTAAAAACTTTTAGCTTTGCTGGTGCTGTCTTTGCCAACTTAAAATCAACGCCTTATTTATGGTGCAAATATATTTATCTTTAAATATATCTGTTTCAATATAAACGTATGTGTGTACATATGTACATATATAGTTGTTAATTTTGTGATTGAATGTGATCATCGGATGGTAGGGACCAGAATGACTGCAAACTGGTGTTGAACCGCGCCGATTCGAGCCCATCATTAAAATACTTCTTATTTTGAATCAGACCTTGATCTAAAATAGCGTAGAAGAAGATGCATAAATGCATATAGAATTACACGCATTAGCATTATGGAAGCCATCTTGGGCTATATTAATGATTTACACGATTCATAAACCATAAATGAAAAGCATATCGACCTAGGTCACATAACTAAGGAGAATTTCCGATTTTTTGGCGGTGCGAAATGAAGTTTGTATATTTTGGTTTTGTGCCATGGTCACTTTGACTATGAGTGTATGTATTGTTTGAAATGTATATGACACTGTATTGTTTTTGGTAGAGTTGGGAAGCCGAAAGTCAATTAATTAATCACAACCTCATTTCATATAGTATTGTATTTATCCCTAGTCATTGACGCAATAATAATTAAAAGGTATCTACATTTAAATTAAGATAGATATTAAGTACTTTTAAAGTACATACACATTCGTATTTATTTATTTACATATTATTAATAAATTCATAAGTACATATAAAATTATGAATGTATGCATATGTGTATGTATGGATGTATACAATCAAATAAATCGGCTGTCATAATTTCACCGCTAGATACTATGCACACTTGTACGATATACCTATATCTATAATCCTAAACAAATTAAATTGTCTGGTAAGTAATCTGCCTAATAACTTAGTTGATTTAGAGCTAGCATAAGCGTTATCATATCCGCCCAGAAATATAAGAGAGCGATCGTTATCTGACTAATTAGATCATGAACTCAAGTTACTATTTAAGAGATGTTGGCTAAACTCGTATATACTTATCGTATAACATGATGAGAGTGATTTTGATTGTGCGCCCAAAGGGATTGGGCTAAATAGCACACAACTAAAACTACAATCATACATTTTTATGTATGTATATTTATGTATGTACATACCTTTTCCCATATAGTATGTATAGGTAACTACCATATATGTGTGTTTGTGTATTATAGTTATACCTTTTCATTGAATATGATCGATATGGAGACGAACTTGATGAATCCGTGCCTATGATATAAGAATATAAATATGTTAATATGGATGTACCGATACGGGATTAACTTATCATCCCAAGTTACTAACTACCTACTAGTAAATTAATATTTTGCTATGGCATTGGTGCATAAATGGCACAAAAATTGGAGCTTCCTCGTGAACAGAATCCAGCGAACCATTCTCGTCGACTACGAAACATTCTATCCAAATTAAATGTATGGTGTATGCGTATGTGTGTTTGTGTAAGTAATGGCACTTGAACTGAAACTTAAAGGACTATACACAGATTTTAGCCTAAGTCGTTGTATATTTACAAGCAAAAACTTAAATCAAAGTTGAAGAGAGTTGCGTTCTTGTCTTATTTTCATCCGTATCAAGGCCAGGGCCATAGACCTTTTCCCCTGTGCTTTACATCATTGTAAAGGTGCAATTTGCCAGGCCTCTATAGTGAATATATTATTATATGTATGTTTATATGCAGGTAAGGGCGTGCCATGCTTTTCTTCACTGTTTTTTATTTTATATTTTGGGGCTTGAGGCTCCTCATAGGATCACCAATGCCGATTCTTAGTCGTCGACATCACGCAGCGATGACATTTCTATGTCCTCAGAGGAAAAGCCCGATGGCGACAGGCTCTCCGGTGGATAGTAGTAGTTACTGCTAGCGACGGGCCCATCAAGTATTAGAGCCGGAGGTGGCGTCTCGCAATCGTCCGCATGCGTCCCGACAACGGCTTGGCTCATCTCCTGCAAATGATATACGGCAGCAGCAGCGGCTGCCGCTGCTTGAATGGTACCCTCCGACCCGTGACTAGTTTGGCACTCAGCGCTCGCGCCCGCTGGACCTGGACCACTGCCTCCGCGACACCACAGCTGTCGCATTTCCGCACGTCGATTTCGCATCAGGACTTTGTACTCTGATATGCGCATTTTTTTTCCATCCACTATGCAAGTGCGTTTTGGACGCGGACGATAGCGATAGTCGGGATGCTGTTCCATGTGCAGTTTCGAAAGGCGCGACTGCTCCTCGTAGTAGGGCTGCTTGTCCGCGTTTGACATCGCCTTCCAGCGGGCACCCAAAATCTTCGATATATTTGAGTTGTGCATGTCTGGACACGCCTTTAATATTTTCCTGCGCTCATCTTTGGCCCACACCATGAAAGCGTTCATGGGTCTTTTAATATGCGGCTTGCTGTGTCCATGGCCATGCCGTTGTGGCTGTGAGCCCAACTGGGCATGCGCATGGCATTCCGGATCCAATACAGCTGATCTTTCTGAGCTGGTGCCGCAGCTGTTTACAGAATCGCGACTACTGCGGGCCACTCGAGCAGAGCCGCCCCTCGCTCCACCGGTGGACAACTGTGGATTCGGCTCACTCACGCATCCACTGGCTGCATTCCACATTCGGCCCTAAAAGTACATTAAGAGAACTTTATTTGAATTTGAATAATATTGTTTTTATATAGCAGTAGCTAACCAAAACACTAAGCATGTAAGTGTGCTGTTGTCAAGGTGCCCGTAAAATTATTTTTGTATAGATACATTATATATATATTTTCTCAAAACTTTAAGATCTCGACTGATGCGCTCTTACTTTTTCCCCGTGCACATTTTGGGGAAATTTTAAATAGGCGGACCAAGTATTCGCACGATTAAGAGACTCTGTCGTTAATTGACGGTTTGTACTTACGCGGGATTGCAAGTAGCTGCCCTCGACATCAGAGAACAACGCTGAGGGTTGATGCTGATGGGAGGCGACTGGGACCGTTTGACTCATCTGCTGCCAGTTCAGCGGCGGACTTGGCACAACGGGGGTCAGGCGCTCCCGTTGATCCCTTAAGCAAGAGCTGATCGGGGACGAGCCAGGTGAGCCCTTGGGCTTAGAAAGGTTAAGTGGCGCATCCATTTCAGAGCTTAAGACTTCAGACTTGTTGGCCACATTTTGACGCTCCGTCGGCGAAGATGGGTAATTTATTGAGATTAAACCGTCGTCTGTGCCGTGGGTTACGCTAACTGCTGGCACCCCAGATCGCCCCTGGGGAGAGTCAGGAGGCGTGTTATGGCTGTACATGAGCACGGCTGCACTATTGGATCTGTGGATGGGCGATTCTGATCTTGACACTCCACCCTCAATACCACATTCGGTTCCTATCTTATGAGCCTCCATCGAGGCATCTGTCGCTTCAGCTTTCGAGTATTTTCGGGCAGCTTGGGTTTGGGCCAACATGGAGTTGTTGTTACTATTGCTGCTATTGGTAATATTGTTACCGTTATTACTATTATTATTACTATTATAATTATTATTATTGTTATTATTATTACTATTATTACTATTATTACTATTACTATTATTATAATTATTATTATTATTATTATTATTATTATTATTATTATTGTTGTTATTATTATTGTTATTATTGTTGTTGGTGGCAGCCACTGCGGCCGCAGCCAGAGCCGCTTGAATGTGGACTGCTGCAACCGCCGCTGTTGGCCACATCGGTTGCATTGCCAGCTTGTGGGCGTGTGGGTGAACATGGCTATTGTGGTTGTCACTTTGACTGTAGTGCGACTGCGGCGCCACATGGCCGGGCATTATGTGCGCCAGCTGCTGAGCGGCGGTGGGCACGGGAGGACGCAGGAATGGTAGAAATGGTACTAGATTACTTGGCACTGTGGGAACAATCTGTTGATGCTGATGGTGCGCCGCCGTGAATTGAGCACTTAGCTGCTGGTGCAGCTCTTGCAGGCAGCTCTCCTGGTGCATTCGTTGAACATTTTGGAGCTGTTGCTGCTGCTGTTGAATATTTGCCTCAATGTCAGTCATGCTTTCAAACTGTGCCTACAATGAAAGAAGACAATCGGTAATCGGTAATCGGTTATCAGAACTGAAAGTAAGTAACAACAGATCTGAAGATCTCAACCCATGTGCATATAAGCCACATTTTATATATTTAGATGTAAATACAAGAGGTTCTAGTCGGGGGCTCCCGACTAGGGAATACCCTGAAACCTCTTACTCCAACCCCAAAAGCAGTTTGCGCAGCGCTCTTGTTTGAAGCAATAAAGATAAATTAAGAAAAGTTCCCTTTGCAGGGTTCGAACTCGCAACAGACCGCATTACTTGCTGACGACTCTACTCAACAGCCACACCAATAATTAAGTATTATTGAGAAAAAAAGAATTAAAATAACAGCACAGAAAACAATCGCAATTGCGATTGTTGCTAATCAATAATATATACATTTTATGGGGTCGGAGATGCTTCGTTTTGCCTGTTACATATATTTACATTTGCACAAAAACATTATACCCATTTTACATAGGGAAGCATTTTCTCCATTTGACATTCAATTTTACAAAACAACTTTAAGTGCTCATTCTGCATTCTAAATAGAAGCGTCTTTCCAAGTTTTATGTATGTAGCTATTCGAACTTCACCATATAATATTCCTTTATTGGAAATTGTTCTAAGATAAATAACTTTTTGTACGATTGTTGATCAAATCACCAACCAAAAAAAGCACTTTTAAGTTCACCTACATAATGTGAATTTTCCAATTTAATTGCAAATTGTACCGAAATAAATAAGTTTTCCATATACTAAACATAAATCAGCGTACATACAAAAAAAAATTTTTTTTTTAAATCATAGTCTTTGATACCAAGCACTCATATAGACAGATGGACGGACAGTCAAACTGATTGACATACATACTCGATCGGCTTTCAGGTGTCGCTGATACAGGCATTCTTTAATAATTTTAACATTTTTAACGCGTTTTCAATGGGCACAGAGTTTAAAATCATGATTATCCTAGTCGAGGTAAACATTTTGGGCATAAGCGCGCTTAGCATTAATTTAAGAAATATATGGCAGCGTTGCTTTATATGTTTTAATTTAAGCTTTGACCACCGTGTCCCCCATTTGCATATGGAATTTTCCAAAGCCTCGTTTTCATCATCATCAGTCAATATTTCACCTTCGTTGGTCTAACGGTATGGGATGCGTTCGTCACAGTTAAGTCGGTCATTTCATTTAGGACAAATACTTTTATAATCTCTCTTAGAAGATATTTGTAATATTAGTCATATATTTCAAGCACTTTTTTTAAAAAACGTTTCTTTATTTGAGTTTTTTTCCATCGATTAGAGGACCGTTCCGGCAACACTTGACAGCAGCTGGATTTATACGAATGGAATCTACTTATAACAATGAATCCCGGGATGCGCCGACGGATACCGTTTTATACGTACATACATATGTATATGTGAAGGTGCGCACTTGGAAATAACCGGAGATGTCAATTGTTTTTGTCTTCCTGCTGAATACGTCTTGGTCTTCGCGAGTCTAGAGCACGCGTGATTGGCTGAAACGTCAAGTTTCGCTTCGATTTTTTGCGCTGCTGCTTCTAGCGCTTTTGTCTTTTTTAACACAATGAAACGTCCATGCGAGGCGAAGCGGGCCGCGCCTCCATTTAGGTCCAAGCTGTTCGTGCGCAAGGCAACCCCAAAAGACAAAGACAGAGCCAAAACGTTTTACGTTTGTCCCTCAACTTTTGCTGTTGTTACTGTTACCTTCCCGTTTCCACAGGGCGCGGGATTCGTTAGCGGCGCTTAGTACTCGCACTCGCACTCGCATTCGTGTTAGCATTTACTGTTTACACCGACACATCGCAGAGAACTGATGCTGACGCCATGAAAATTCTTGTTGCTCTGATAAAACACTGGAATTGTCTTGCTGTCTGTTATTGCGCATGTCTGTTATTGGAGTTGAAGCAGGAGAGTACGACGACTGTGACATCACAGTCTTTAAGAGCAAACACTATTTGTTGAATTTAATTTACTCATTCTCAATATGCACAAACGGTCGGAAAGTGTGCGTGAAATACATGTATGAAACGCTCGCAAATAAAATAATAGATTGACCTGATGCGCAGAGAGAAAGAGAGTGAAAACCGGTGCGCAGAAACTCTCAACCTGAATTTCTCTCATCGCTGATGGGCGTGCATTCAATTGTTGGTACGCGATTTCATTGCGCACACATTGTCGCACGAATTACAAGAGTTCGCTCTTTCCTTAGTTTTCTGGGTTTATATGGTTGGTGGCGCATCTTTCCGTGTCAAATACATACATGCATAGTCATGCTCTACATAGATGCATACATACATACATATATGAGTGTTCTATACATATTCAAGCGAGATAAATATATATATATATATATATATATATATGCATATACATATGTATGTGCATATTTTTATAAAAGTTGCTGACGAGATATTCAACAACACCGCCGTTGTTGCCACCCAGTTCGAAAATCAATAGAATGCGAAGGCAACGCGATTGCGAACGTCAACGCACAAAGAGTATTGTTTAATACAATACTAGCAATCCGAAGCTGAAACTGAACCTGAAGCTCCTCCCCTTATCGTGCATCGTGCATCGGCAGAGGCAACCCTAGATAGATACGCCAACAGCGGTGGGTAATGCCTGGTTTGTCCCAGCCAATTGTCTCGTCAATTATTTTCCATTGTACCCGCATTGCGTTTCGGTTGGCTGACGGCGAGCGAAGGACAGAAACATACATTCCTGCTTATCTGCATACATGCATAATTGTAGATATATTTCCATATGTATGTATAGGCATGTAAATAAACAAAGATTTGTTATTATATCAGCCGTAAAAGTGAATCCTATCTACATACATATGTGCATACATATGTATGTACTTAAATACATGTTCACATACCAATAATATAAATACTGTACACCAGGTCTGCATGTAAAACATACTTCAAATTAGACTTCTTCATTCCTGATAGCTGTGCCGTCGCCACACAAGCAGTCTATAACACACCTACGTATACAATAGGCTACAAGTATGCGTGTATGTTCATATTGATGCATAAAAATAACATATGTAGTATTTGTGTACATGTTGTACGTGTGCACCTACCTGCGTACCTATTATACGAATGTGCAAACCTACTTTTATACAGGTAAATGTCAAATAAAGTATATATATTTATTCACTTATGTTAATACATTTCAATGTGTACATACATAACTACAGAATGAAATACCGTGTTGAAAAATATAACAAAGTAGATGCACACAAATTAATGTAATTCAATGTATTGTCAGAAAGGCTGTAAACCGGTTTTAAGGTAGAACTGGTTCAAACGCGGAATCCCAATTTGTTTTTTTACCATGAACCGAGCCCTAAACCAAACCTACTGCACTAAAATCAGCCGAACTGAGACCTGAACCGATCCGTACATGTCAAAAAATAGGTTCTAGTCGGGAGCTCCCGACTAGGGGATACCCTGAACCCTCTTCTTCCAACATCAAATGCATATATATATTCTATTTTAGAAGCTATATGGTAAGTTTGGTGACTCTGGCTCTTATTTTTACCAAAATTGCCCAAAAAACAGGATATCGATATCGATTTTTATCGATTGCTTGGAAACGGAGTAAGTTATCGATTATCGGAAACAAACTCGATCTGCGCGGGAACTAGGAGCATCTACATCTAAAATTTCAGCCCTAGCTCTTATAGGTTCTGAGATCCTTGCGTTCATACATACGGACAGACGGACAGACAGACAGACGGACATGGCTAGATCGACTCGGCTATTGGTGCTGATCAAGAATATATATACTTTATGCGGCCGGAGATGCTTCCTTCTGCCTGTTACATATATTTGTATTTTGCACAAATACAATATACCCTAATGCCCATTTTTGATGGGTTCAGGGTATAAAAATGGTGTAGATATAAAAACTTGTGAGTGGGCAGCTCAGCTCCAAAGAATTAAAACCTTATGGTAATAAAAAGAATAGTTTTTTATACAACTCAATTTTCGACCGATCGGATGGAAGGATATCTGAAATCTGCCGATATCTTGAAATCTCTTCGATAATTTGTGAAATTCGTAGACAGGATATTCGTTGACTGTGTAAAAAAAATCATTAAAATAATTAGTTAAAATAAATAATGCGCTCGTGTTTTTGGTTCGGCCCAGCGACTTCGGCATTTTTGGGTTTCAACCCGATCGAATGTTAAGCATAAAAGTATCATAAAATCGTTAATTACCAATTTTCAACAGCTGCGAACACTATAGTCATAACTTCAGTAAGGAATACAGCATCAGAGTGTCAGTTCGTCAGTCAGAATAAAGAGCTTTAAATATGTAGATAAAATTTTTATCCATATAAACATCTTTATCTGTTATTTCTACAACACGGTTAAATCTAACCATGTTGTGTGTTCTATAGGGTCACTAGTAGAGTGGAAAAGAGAACGGCTTAATTTGCATTGGGCCATGTTGTAGCTAAGGGGTATTTAAGGGCAGAAATGTACTCCGCCGCATTATTTGTCTTGTTTAGTATATTGATTATACGCGTGTTTATCTTTCCGAACGAATCACAAATTACATAGATGAGTTTGATGTGATTTTATTTCGTTTTATTTGTTTAACTTGTTAATTTCGGTTATGGCCTCAAAAACAGCGGCAGCGGCAGCAACAGCTATGCATGTTGAAAATTACGCTGACATGGTTGGATTGTGTTTGTGTTGGCGTTGGGTTTGTCCTGGGAGTCGAAAACGGGGAGTGGGCTTCATGACGAAAAGATCAAAGGACAATTTCCTGATTGTTTTATTTCGTTATTTTATTTTGTTTGCCTTCGTTCTGTTCTTTTGTGTGTTGTTGTAGTAGGTATTTTGGCTGTGTATAGTCTTTGCTTATTTATTCCTCTTCGTTTACATTGGCAAGCGCCATCAAAAGCCCCGGTATCACCTCTTCTATCGCTCAGACATACAGTCATATTATT